TGCCCCCCAGGGTGCCCGCACGATGCATGACTGCACCTCAGCACCCACCCCCGGTGCCCTGCCATGCGTGCTGCCCCCCGGGGTGCCCGCACGATGCATGTCGCCCCTCAGAGACACCACTACACATGCAACCCCTCCGGATGCCCTGCCACGTCCCCTGCCCCCCCCACAGCACCTGCAGCCCTTCAAAGCTTCTGCCCCCTGCCTCTGCTGTGGCCCTGCCTGCTCATGCACATGGGTGGGGAGGATGGATGCTGGGTGGGGAGGATGGATGCTGGGTGGGGGGCAAGAAAGAAGGTGGGCAGCCAGCCCTGCTCAGCCAGCAGCGCCCTGCCACTGCAGAGCTCCGCACCTGCCCAAGCTGCGCCAGGGACCTCCTGCCACTCGGAAGCAGAGAGAGTGGAGGCACCTTCCGATGGGACCTTACCTGTGCGGCCATCTGGGCGCGGGGAGGAGGGCGCTTGCTCCCACCGGTGAGTGTTCAGGCGAGCCGGGGTCCCTGCTAGGTCGTGGCTGGGCACTGCCGCTTGGGAAGGGACAGGCCAGATATGCAAGGAACAGGACAAGGGGAGCAGAGGGTGAGTGCGGCACAGGGTGCTGTTGCGATCCCCGCACCCCCCCTCCCCCCCATCACAGCACCCTGGGGTCCCCTGCCCTGTCACCCCACACTCCCCAGAGCATAGTGCCAAAACCTGCGAGCACTCACAGGCAGCCGGCTCTGCCCTGCAGTGCCAAACCATGCTGCAGAGGAGGGTAAGGCAGACATCGGGGTACCCATGCCCCAGCAGGGCAGCGAGTGGTACCCAGGGTCTGTGCCAAGAGATTGGGATCATCCCTGCACCCACCAGGCCCTGGCACAGCAGAGCCACCCCAGCGTCACCTCTGGAGAGCAAGGCAAGGGGGCCGAGTGGCTCAGCCCCCACCTAGGGAGCACCCAGGGTGCCTGCAGGCACCAGTCTGGGCTGGGGCCAGAGTCACCGATGCCCAAGTGAGGGGGCTCAGCCTTTCCCCAGCATGCAGGTTGGAGCCCCTAGGTGAGGTGGGCAGGTTCAGGTCCTGCATGCTTCCTTTCGCCTTGGGGCTGTGCCACACTGCAGCCCACAAACCCCCAGCATCTCCTCAAGGGTTTCTGCCTTCCCAGGAGCCAGCAGCCCCCTGGAACGTCTTGGAGGGAGAGGACCTCCGCCTGCAAGGGTGTCTCTCCAAGTGGGAACCCTGACATTGGTGGCGGAGAGCTGCTTTCTGGTCCCCATCCCCCTCCAACTTCCCCCCCCCCCACCACCCTTTCCTAGGAAGAGGGCAGCTGCTGGCCACTGCCATCCCTCAGGCAGCAGGGAGGACCCAGAGGGTGCTGGGCCCCGTCTGGGCCAGTGAATGCAGCCCCGGGGGGGTCAGGGCCAGCCGGCGCACTGTGCACGGCCTTATTGGGACAAAGAATGCAAAAGGCTGGGGTTTGCTGCCGGCACCAATTCCCTTTCATGGCCCTGCTGCTGTCTGGCCTGGAGCTGGGGGACTGGTAAACAGCCCGCCTGGCACCCCGCTCCCCCAGCACCCAGCTGGGGCAGGCACTGCCACCGCACAGCCAGGCGGCAAAGGGCTATGGGCTGGGGATGGCCCTTGGCCTGGCCATGTCCTGCCCTCACATTCCTGCCCTGGCCAGTGTGGGTTTAAGTCACATCCCCAGGGCTGAGGCTGTTCCCCATGCTGCCGGGATGCGTGTGCTGCAGCACAGCGGGGCTGTTGGAGTCCCCTGGGGCAGCACTGTCCAGCTGGGTGGGACCGCGGCCTCAGCGCTCCCTTCCCACAAGGGTGCACTTACCTGCTGGCTGCTCCCTGCACCTCCTGGCCAGCCCTGGCACCTGGCTGTGCACGCCGACACCAAGCTACAGGGAGGGAAAGGGGGGGCACAGAGGTCAGCTGGGGGGGCCACATGCACCCCCCACCCCCATGCCATCAAGCTGCCTTCACCCACGGGACCGCCAGCCCTTGGCAAAGAGCGCAGTGATGGCCCCAGCCCATGCCACCAGTTCTGTACCTGGCTGCACTGGCTGCCAGCACTGGGCTGGCCCAGGAGGGGTTGCTCCACCAGGTGGCTTTGCCCCCCACTGGGCTCCTGGGCAGTGGCAGGGCTGCCCGGGCTCCCTTCCTTCTGGGCTGCCCGGCGGTGCCGGGGCCGGCCGCAGCTCCAGGAGCACGAGGGTCCCCGAGACCACGGCTGCAGGAGAGAAGAGGCTCTGCACAGGGGAAGCCTGCTGCCGAGACGCCACCAGGTGCCTGGCTCCCCTACCTGCACCTTTGGGAGGCACTGTGCTGCACTCTCTATCCTTCCACCCCTGCCCACAGCTGGCCCTGGTGCTGCTCCAGCCCTGGGCATGCACCCAGATGGGCTTTTGCCACCAGCATTCACCGGGACTCACCCTGGACGCTAGGTTTCTGGGAGTCTCCTGCCTGCCGGCTGCGCAGCTCCTGCATCTCAGCTGGGACGTGCTCCTGTTCCACCACGTTATCTCGCTTGTGGGCCTGGGCAGAGCAGGGGATGAGAACAGGACCAGCCCCATTCTGGTCTCTGACTGGGTCACCTTGTCCCATCCCTGCCACCTGTCCAGGGACATGCCACAGGCTGTGGCCTCTTCCCATGCCACCCAGGTCCCTCCCTGCATGCTGCTGGGGATGGACAAGCCACCCCCTGCAAAGCGGTCACTGCAGGACACTGGCAGGGGGACAGGTGTCCCCACATGCCACTGCCTCCAACAGGCAAGGAGGGTGACGCTGTATCTACTGAAGAGGGGGCCCAAACCCTGCATATCCCTGAGGCTCCTGGCACTCCTCCACGTGGGGCTGACAAGTACCAGGGCACAGAGCAAGAAGCTGGCTCTTGGGTCCCTCTGTGGCCTCTGCCACGAGCACACCAGGCTTGTCCAGCATGGATGCCAGGAGGTGGGAGGAGAGGACAGACCCTGCCCAGTGCCCCTGTCCCCTCTTGCCCTCTAGCCCAGGCACCTCAGAACTCTGTGAGGCAGGAAGCACCCAGTTTTGCATCACCCTATCTCTGCCCATAGCACCGGCTGCTCTGCTCTACAGACCACGGGATGCTCTGGGTGCAGGACCACATGCTGACGTCAGAGTGGCAAGGACATGCAGGTGACACATGCGTCCCTGACACATGCCTGAGCAGGGCCACAGTGTCCTGGTGTCACCAGCCAGGGCACAGGGTGCCAGTCCTGGCTGTGCCAGTGCCTATAGGAACACCAGGGGCTCCAGGTGCTGACGTGACTCAAGGGCAGGGGGAGGCGGAGAGGGGTCCATACCCTAGGGGGCATAGGGGAACCAGGACCCAAACCCAGGCACCACTGCAGCCACTATTTAGGGGAAATGGCCTCAAGTTTGGAGTAACCAGCCGGACAGAGACATACAGCCCCGCTGGCTGCTTGGGAGATGTCCCAGCATGGCCAGGACCAGGGGCAGCATGCCACCACATCCGGATGGGGAAGGCAGACAGTGCTGAAAGGTGGCACAGGACCACGTCCTCCCTGCAGCCTCTTGCTGTGGCCCTGGGGCAGGCGGAGGGGGAAGCTGGGCTGAACACAGGCAGATGCAGAGACCCACACCTTCCAGTCTAGCTGTGGTTACAACCACCGCTTCTTCCTTCCCTGCCCTCTCCCCGAAAGGGCAACCCCACATGGTGTTTCTGCAGCGACCTCCTACCACAAGAGCCATAGGCCCCTGAGGGGTCACCGCCACTGCACAGGAAACCCAGGCTTGTGCCCATTCCTGTCAGCCCTGCCCACCAGCTCATCCTTCCCCCAGCCAGAGAGCTCCCGCCATCGCTCCAGAGCGAGCCCTGGCCCCTCGAGGGCCAGCACGAACAACCAGCATGGGGAGGGGGACAGGGGGATGAAGGTTTCTGCCTGTGCAAGGGGATTGATACAGACAGCTGCTGTGGCACGACAAACAGCCACTGCCTCCAAAGAGCACCATCCACGCAGAGCGGCGGCAGGGAGGGGTGCACCAAGCGCACTGAGGGGCCCCACAGACCCCTCGCCCGCAACACTTGCACCGAGGCTGCATCCTCAGGGAGAAGCCCAGGGACACACAGGCCTGAGCCCTCAGCCCCAGCTCACCACTGCTGGGGCCAGCCTGGCACAGCCCAGCCGTGTCCCACATGTCCCCAGAGACCCCAGCTCTACCTGCCCCAGTCCCTTTGCATGGGTGAGCCCAGCATGCCCAGAGGTTTGTGCGCCAGGCAAGCTGGCACAGAAGACCAAGGGAAGGGCAAGATCTTCAGTAGTCCTGTCCTTCCCCAGCAGCACTCTGCACACTCACCGCTGAGCCTTTGTGCTCCTGGGCAGGGGGTCGCTCTGCAGCCCCCCCACAGGCACTCTCCTCCGGCCCAGTCAGCACCGGCTGCTCTGCATCATCCTGCTGGCTGCTCTCCCCACTCCTGGCTGCAGCCAGGGGCTCGACGCT